TGGAATAACATAGAGAAAGAAATCCTGGGGGAGGAATGAGGAAAGAAAAAGGGCATAGACAATAGATTTGGTGTATTGCCACTGAGGGAAGGGCTTAGATTGGAATCTGTTTACAGCCTCTCTTACACCCACTGGCTTATGTCCTCTTCAGACTGCATTATAAAATGACTAGGGGGCTGATCTTAGCAAATAGTGTTACACCATCATCCAGCTGAAGTGATCCCTGGACTCTAAGATAATCAATTTCAAGAATCAGCCAAGAAAAAATGAAAAACCTACTTAAGCTGAGTCTTTTTCTGCTCTGCATAAGAATTGGTAAATCCTTGTTTGGTTATTTAACCATGGTTAAGGTACAAGCCTGGGCTTAACACTGGCATATATTTAAGCGGTGCTTGATGTCTCCAATTATTTTAAGTTTCTATGAGTTCCAATCCGGCTTCCAAGGAACATGTTGAGTAGTAGGCTCCATCTCTGACCACCTGACTTCTTTCATCTTCTTACTTTCCTGGGTCTTTCCCTCATCCTGTCTACCACCTAAAACTCAACATGATCTCTGTACTTTAAATACTTCCTAATAATTGTTTATCTGTGGAGTGAGGAATCAAGGATTCCCAGTCAGAAATATTGATGTTGTTCACAGACCTGGAACTTTAGCCCAGGCTCTGAGAACACAGCAAGTGCTCTGTGCTCACCATCCTGTATGTGATCACTATGGTAAGCTAGAAAATGAATCATGAGCAGTATGGTTCTCTGGAGAGTGATCACTCTCCCTTCCTGACAGTCTGCTGCTATCTTGTCTACTGTATGGATATGTTAGATTGTCTCCTCACATGCTCCTGCTTTGTCCGTGGTATTAAAACATGTTTCCTAGAACATATCCCTAAGGGAAACAGCTTGGTATAGCCAAGCTATCAGGGAGTTGGATGTCCTTTGCTCTCTTTGTTCTGTGACAATGATTCTTCCCCTGTCCTCTGAGAACAGTTTTTCTTCTTGCAGCCATACCTCTCCTTTGTCAGCGATGTAGAAAATTCAAAGAAAATTTCTGTGAGCATAAGTTGGAGAGATGCCGAGCTCCAGAAGGTGGATCATGTATGATCCGGAGACACTGGCGTTTTCCATACAGTTGTAAGTATATTCAGTAATCTAGTGAGAGCTGTGGAAATTTCTTTTCTCCTTCAGGTCTCAAACCACTTTCCTTTAGGACATGGCATCCATATGAAGAAAGCTGATTTAGGTCCAAGTGTGATGCTCTGAGCCAAGTGTCTTCTCTCGTAGAATGATAAAATTCAAGGAAGATTGAGTGGAGTATGACTGTTCCCCCAACATTTTGCTAACCTTTTTCTGATACTTCTGAACTCTAATCTCTCTGCTGTTCAGGATTCAAAGGCCCTAAATCCTTGGATCCCTAAATTAGCCATTTCCCAAATCTGTGTGCTGGATCCTGCTACTTGTGTGTAATCCTGATCAAACTTCTGTCTCAGTTCAGAGACCCCTGCTCTGGAAGCCTTTATGATCATTCTCATTTTTCACATGACTCCCTCTGCTTTTCCAGAGTCTCCCTGCCTTATCTATCTACCATATGATATTTGTCATGATGCATTTTAATTGCCTGTCATTCCTTGTCACCTGTCTATAACTAGCTCAACGCTCTTCCATGGTACTCACTACAGAGCCTTGGACCCAACTTCCTTTAAATAAGTTTTTTGTACCTGACAACCTGTGAAGGGAGGGTTGCTGTGTTCTTCAACATCTACAATGTGAAGTTCACCATGAAGTGCATATTTTCCCTGCAGGAAACACTCTAGATAAAGGAACTTTGCTAGCTATGTCTTTGGACCATGTGGCCAAACTGCCCATAGGTGACCCATAACTAGTTCAGACGAAATATTCTTTCATTTAATTCATTCTTGGTTACCCATACTTGTATTTGAGACCTATATTGTTGTTATCCAAATGACATCTCATTTCTGCTTTTCTCTTCTGCAGATTTCATGCCATCGAGTGCAGAGTCTAATTGTGTGAAACATTGTGAAGATAAATTGAAAACTGTTTTTGGTAATTCATCACAGACATCATGCTGTAATGAGTTTGATTTTTGCAATGACTTTGACAAGCCAAAGATTTATCCTTAATTTGAGAGTTTCATAAGTTTCAACATTTCCTTCCTCTCTTCCATCTTTACTCTGTATTTGAGGGTTCCCCACGCATTAGAAATAAAGGTTTCTTGAAATCTGGGGGGACACTTCTTTAGTTTAATGCTAATCTAAGTGATCCTACAGTTCATTACTTATGCTTATTCCCCACCCCACACACAATTCAACATGAACATAGCTCACTCACTCTTGGTTTCATTCAATACATTTATTACACCAAAAAGAGAAAGTAGCATGTAATAATAGATGAAAATACCGGAGCATGTGAGAAGGAAGAGAAAAACTGAAGAACAGAAGAACTAGATATTTTTAAAAATATGGTTTCATTACTTAGGCATATTGTAGCATTAGTAGGAGGAGGTAGATGAGAAGTATACATCAAATATAAACTACATGGGAGATAAGAAAATTAGGCCCAAAGCTATACAGCCAGATGATTATGGACTGAAACCTCTGAAAACATGATGCTTAGTGAAATCACTTCTCCTTTAAGTCCTTTCTCTCAGGTACTTGTCATGGTGACAAAAATCTTACAAATACAGACTGAGTTCAACTCAGACATTAGAGGTGTACTCTGACCACATGATGTCAAAAGCTGTCATTTGGTTAAAACACTTGTGTAGAGGTTCTCCAATGCTATGTTGAATAGGATGGATGGTCAAAATTTGCAGGAGCTATCCCTCAAGGGAAAGATGGCAGATCAGAAGAACTCAAAGTATCATTAAGAGATTGAATGCAATTCCCATAAAATAGCAATGCCATTCTTCACAGAACTAGTAAAATCAGTTCTAAAATTCACTTGGAAAAATATAAAATCCAGAATAGCCAAAGCAATACTAAGCAACTAGACCTCAAATTATACTACAGAGGTATAGTAACCAAACCAGCATGGTACTGGCATCAAAACAGATATGAGGACAAATGGAATAGAATAGAAGACTCAGAGACAAATTCACACAAATAGAGGTATTTGGTACTAGACAAAGGTGCCAAAAACAATTTGAAAATGGTAATCTTTTTAACAAATATTACTGGGAAAACTGGATATACACATGTAGAAGAATGAAACTTGACCCCTGTCTCTCACCCAGAACAAAAGTCAATCCATCCACAGACAATCAGACACCTAGGAATTTAACCAGAAACTCTGCAAATGGTAGAAAGAAAATGTAGGCCCAACCCTTCAACATGTAGGCACAGGAATTGACTTCTCAAACAAGACTCCTAAAGTGCAAGCGATAAAAGAAAACTGTCAATTAGTGGGATGCCATCAAATTAAAGAGCTTCTGTACAACAAAGGAAACAAGAACATGAAGAGAGAGCCAACAGAATGGGTGAAGATATTTGCTACCACTCAATTAACAAATAGGCAAAAAAAAAAACAAACCCAAAAAACTAAAGAGACACTTCCCAAAAGAAGAAATGCAAATGTCCACAAATATATGCATAAATGTTCAGCAGCTCTTGAAATTAGGGAAATACAAACCTGAACTACATAAAGATTTCAATTCACTCCAGTCAAAATGGTAATTATAAAGAATATAAGTATTGGTATTGGTGAGGATATGGGGGGCAGAAATGTACACTTATACATTGTTGGTGGGACTGCAAATTAGTACAACCACTCTAAAAAGCAGTTTAGATAATTCCCTCAAACTAATAATGGAACTACCTTATTATCTATCCCACTCTTTAATATATTTTTAACTAATCTAAAATCAGCATACTATAGGAATACAGCCACATCAATGTTTATGGCAGCTCAATTTATAATAGTCAAGCTATTTTAACCAATCTACATATCCTTCAACAGATGAGTAGATAAATAAAATGTGATATATATACACAATGGAGTATTTCTCAGCCATAAAGAAGAATGAAATTATGGCATTTGCCAATAACTGAAAACTCTGCTGCTAAGTAAAATAAGCCAGACCCAGAAAGTGAAAGGTCAAATTTTTTCTCTGATATATGAAAGATAATCCAAAATAAGTGAAGGGGGAGTGTGAATAAAAAATAGAAGATGAAAGGGAAAGAAGGGAAGGGAGGAGGGACAGGATAAGGGAAGAAGAGTGGGATGACTTTGACCTGTTTCCTATGTACATATATGAATATGCCACAGTAAATTCCACCATTATGTATATACACAGGAGACAATTTTTTATTTAAAAAAGCATGTAAGTAAATAGCAGAAATATGAGTAGAGTAGAAGGGAGGGAACAGGGAAAGGAAGGAAGGAACAAAAAAGGGAAGTACTGGGGATGAATTAGAGCAAATTATGTTCTATGCTTTTATAATTGTGTCAAAATGAATCTTAACATTATGTATAACTTAAAAAATTCAATAAAAATGGAAATAAAGAAAAGCCTTTGAACAGATGGATTCCCAGCTGTGTTCTATTTGACCTTTAGAGAAGATCTAACTCTAATGCTTCACACATTATTCCCTGTAAGTGTGGAAATACTTTCATACTTTTTCCAGTGTAACTCCAAAATCTGAACCAAATGAGGACACTTCAAGAAAGAAAACTACAGAACAATACACTTGATGCATTTAGATGCAAAAATACGTAGTAAAGTAGTGGCAAGTTGAGTTCAACAACAGATTAATAATTGTGTATCATGCCATGTTGCTTTTATTCTGGGGATGAAATGATATTTAACCTGAAAATCAATAGATGTATATACCATACAAAGAAACTAAAAATAAAAAATCACATGATCATCTCAATAGATGCAGAAAAATGCGTTGACAAAATTCAGTACTTGTTTATGGTTAAAAAATCCTGAAGAAAGTAGGGATAAAACAGGTATACTTTAAGAGCTCGCCGTTGGGTCTGTGGGGACCCACGAGGCCTCAACATGCGTATGGAGAAGTGTTATTTCTGTTCAGGGCCCATCTACCCCAGCCACCGCATGATGTTCGTCAGCAATGATTGCAAGGTATTCAGATTCTGTAAATCCAAATGTCATAAGAACTTTAAAAAGAAGCGTAATCCTCAAAAGGTCAGGTGGACTAAAGCATTCCGGAAAGCAGCTGGCAAAGAGCTTACAGTGGATAACTCATTTGAATTTGAAAAACCTAGAAATGAACCTGTCAAATACCAGCGAGAACTATGGAATAAAACTATTGATGCAATGAAGAGAGTTGAAGAGATCAAACAGAAACGCCAAGCTAAATTTATAATGAACAGATTGAAGAAAAATAAAGAGCTACAGAAAGTTCAGGACATTAAAGAAGTCAAGCAAAACATCCATCTTATCCGAGCCCCTCTTGCAGGCAAAGGAAAGCAGCTGGAAGAAAAAATGGTACAGCAGTTACAACAGGATGTGGACATGGAGGATGTTTCTTAAAAATCTGACCCTGTAACCATTTCTATGTGTACATTTGAAAATCTCCTTAATTCTAAATAATTAATTTTTATATAAGGTCACTGAAGTGAAAGGTGATTACAAATACTATTGCTATCTGCAAAGCATCAGATTTTGGATGTTAAATTGTACCTCATTGTAATGTCTTCATTGATAGACATGCTTATGTAAATCATGAAAATTCTGTTTATACATGCACAAGTGGATTGTGGACAGAATGGTCATGCCTTTTGGATAATGGCACTAGGCAGCATTTATGTAATAAGTAATTACAAAAATTCATGGCCAGTGATAGCTATAATCAAATTTTCTTTGCAGTAAAATGTTCCCTTTATTATGTTATAGAAGGGAGGATACAACAAGGAACTAACAATTTGTATGACAATCTCAAAATCATTTATTTTTATTTTAGTATTTTTCTGTTTTGATTTATTAGCCTAAAGGAGCATAATGGCCTAATGCCATGAAGCCTAGTTATGCTAAGCTGTTTTGACCTGGTTTACCTGTTCTTAGCAGGTAGTTATGAGTGTTTGTGAGGAGAGCTGACTAATCTTTACTTGAAATGGCACCATATTATTTCTGCTTTAGAGAATACTCAGTTCTAATTTGTGATTCCTGTTAGAGCAAGCTCCCTCTCTCCTCCCCCTGATCTAGAAGCAAAGAAATCCTAGTGTCTTAAAATTTGTTGCGGGGTTTTCTTTCTTTCTTTTTAAAAACAGGTTCTTAATTGTTATGGAATATAGAATTTAAGGGTATAACATCTACCCATTATTTGTACATAAAATAAAAACATTTTTTAGTGAAAAAAAAAACAAGTATACTTTAAGATCATAAAGGCTGTGTCTGACAAACTCAAAGTCAACATTGTACTGTGTCTGACAAACTCAAAGTCAACATTGTACTGAATGAGGAAATTGTGAAAGCGTTTTCTCTTAAATCAGGAAAACAAGGATGTCCACTACCATCACTCCTATTCAACATAGTCCCTGAGACAGGCTACTAGTCAAGAGAAGGATTAAAAGGGATCTAAATAAAAATGAAAGAAGTCAAATTTTCCTGTTTGCAGATGCTATGTTCCTATATTTAAGATCCTAAAACTCTGCCAGATTATTTCCAGAGCTGACAAACAAGTTCATCAAAGTAGTAGGTACAAAAGTAACATACAAAAATGGATAGCTTTTCTATACAGCAATAATAAATCTGCTGAGAAAGGTTCCATTCACAATAGCTTCAAAAGAAAATTAAGTACCTAAGAATAAATTTAAACAAAGAGGTGAAAGGATTATACAAGGGAAATTACAGAACACTGAAAGTGAAATTAAAAAAAAAAGACATTTGAAGATTTGAATATCTCCTATATTCCTGGATAGGTAAAATTAACATTGTTATGATGGTCATACTACTAAAAGAGATCTACAGATTAAATAGGTTCCATTAAAATATCAAAGTTACTATCCCTAGAAGTAGCAAAAGCAATTCTAAAACGTATATGGTAGAACAAAAGAACAAGAATATTGAAAGCAATTCTGAACCAAAAAAGGCTGGAGGCATCAGAATACCCAATTTTAAATTATACTACAGAGTCATAGTAGCATAAACAACTTAGTAGTGGCATAAAACTAGACATACAGACCAATTGAATAGAATAGAAGACAAAGAGACAAACCTACATATCAAACAGTCCTACTCCTTGACAAAAGGGCCCCAAACTTACATTTGAGAAATGCCAGCCTCTATAACCCATGGTGATCAGAAAACTGGATATCCATAAAAAAGAGATTTTAAGTAGATTTTTATTTCTCACCAAGCACAAAACTCAACTCAAAACGGATTAACAATGTATAAATCAGACCAGAAAACTTATAACTGCTGGAAGAGAACATACAGAAAATATTCCAACATACAGGCGTAGACAATGAATACCTCAGAAGACTACAATTTAGGAAATAATACCAATGATCAATGAAAGGGATTAGCCTCAATCTAAGAAGCTTCTATACAACAAAGGAAACAATTAACATTGTGATAAGAGAATCTATAGAATGGGAGAAAATCTTTGCTATGTTCTCTTCTGGCCAATGATGAATACTTAAAATACATAAAGAACTTAAAAAACACAACATTAAAAAAAACCCCAAAGAATCCATTTAGTAAATCAGCAAATAAAATGAACATAAACTTCTCAAAAGGAGTGAAGATGACCAATGACTATGTTTAAAAAAAAAAGGCACACATCTTTAGTCATTAAGTAAATTAAATTCAAAATTACACTGAGATTTTATCTCACTGCAGTTAGGATACAAATAATATTTAATGTTGGGGAGGATGCAGGGGAAAAGGAACTCATACACTCTTGTTGGAAATTGAAATTAGTAAAGGCCCTTATGGAAATCAGTATGTAGATTCCACAGCAGGCTTGGAATGGAACCACCATGTCACAATGATACTACCCCACCAATAATTCTTACAAAAGGTCAGTTTTACAGCAGCATGATTCTCAATTAACCAAGTCATTGAACCAACCTGAGTGTCTCTAGAGAAATGAATACATAAAGATAATGAGGTATATATTCAAAATGGAAGTTTACTCAGACATAAAAAAGAATGAAATGTCATTTGCTGGAAAATGGATGAAACTGTAGAATAGCTCCTCGTGTGGAAAAAGCCAGACTCAGAAAATCAAGGTTTCTATGTTGTTGTTTTTTTCATATGTAGAAGATAGAAAAAAGGGACTCTGACCAAAAAAAAAAAAAAAAGACCATCAGGGTAGAAGAAGGAGGGCTCTGAGTGTAGAGAGGAAGGGAGAACAAGGGGAGGTAGTATAAGTATGCCACAATGAAACCCAGTATTCTGTATCATTATTACCCACCAATAAAAGTGTGAGATGGAGAAAAAACATATTAACACCACAAATTTAAATATTTCAGATTGTGATATTCATAACTAATTATTTTGTGAGTTTTATTTGAATTTATCAAATGTAGTTGAATGCCGCAGTCTGGCTGGGCAAAATAACCGGGAGGTGACAAGCAACTTGAAGGTTGAAGCGGGAACTACTTTATTGTGGGGGAACTCAGTGGGAACTGAGTGGGCACTCAAGATAGCGAGAGCCGCTTTATTGCAGGACAGCAGAGGTATATATTCCTAACTGATTACACACAGCTTGACTCAATTAGCATCATCTAGATACAGCAGTCAGCCAATAAGAAATCTCCATCATCTTAACGGCTCGGTGTCGTTGCCTCACAAACCAGTCCTCCTGGCAAACTGCCAGGCGCCATCTTGACTTGGTTGCAGCCCTCAACAGTTGAACAAATGTTGTCAGTTATGAACTTAATCTGTAAGGGACCGGCGAAATGTCAGAGGAAGAGACCACCAAGAGACTGTCTCATGCAACAGCAAAAGGGTTTATTTGGGGACCAGCATGCTGGGGCTCAGAGCTCACTAGAGCAAAGAGAGATAGAGCACTGGGAACAGCTTAAGCAGAGCTTATATACTTTTCTTGGAGAGGGCAGGGAGGGGAGTTCATTGACGGGTCAGGGCGAGTGGGCAGTTTGCCTGCAACCGAGTAAGGGAATACATTCTGCAGTTTGGCAGTTGGGGACAGCACATTCTGGGAACAAGATTAGCAAACAGTTCTCAGGATTTCAACAGTGTTTTGTTAAGCATACAGAAAAACGGAGTGACAAGTACCTATTTTATTAACCTTTCAAATCTAGTTCATAATCTTAATCTTTAGTCTTAACCACTGTTGATTTCTTTATTGCTTTTCAGAAATAAAATATTATCATTACATTATTATTATTATTTGTAGTGCTTGGGATTGAACCCAGAGCCGGCACAAGATACATAAGGCCTCCTACCACTGAGCTATATTCCAAGTCTTTCATTACATGTTTATCAAAGTGTACATGACAGTGGGGTCCACTGTGGCAAATTCAAACAGGCTCATGACAATTCATTCCATTTTATTTTTAGTGTTTCCTCCTTTTTTTCCTTCCCCCCTCCTTTCCTCTGATCTTTTTCCTGTACTCTCTAGTCTCCCTTCTATTTATTTTTTTAAGTTGATTCATTTTAATTATACATAAAAGTGAGATTCCTTGTGCTTCTTTTCTATATGCACACAGCATAAATTGACTGATTTAATTCCTCAGTATCTCTACTTTCACTCCTTGCCTCCTTCCCCTTTTGTTCCTTTCCTCTACTATTTTCCCTTCTTCAGAAATAAAATCTTAAAATCCTAAATTGTCCTGCTACAAAAGTTAACTGCCCAGCAGTTCCAAGGTGTTTGTTAATGCTGTTTTTGATACAATATTGAAACATTTTCAAGTAGAGTAACTGCCCTCATCCACTCCTAACAAAATGTAAATGGTTTTGGATATTAACATTTCTATAGATTTAGAAATGTTCTGTTTATGAATTCAAACTAGGCAAACAGTGCTTTTACATGAAAGTTTTACTGAATAATAAAATATTTCCCAAAACAACAAATGATATTTTCATCACTAATTGGGCAATGCTTCTTTATATGCTTCCTGTGCTGTGAAAAACCAAAACAAGAAACACTTCCCTTCTCCGTTGCCTTGCCTACAAATACATTGTCTGAGTTGGAACTACCATTCCACAAACATTCCTGAACTCAGTGCAAAGGCAGAGAAAATGCCAATGTTTCAAAATTCATTCTTTCAATTGAAGAACATCCACCAAACCTATAAGTGGGAGTGGTCCAGTAACTTACTGAAGGGAAAATAGAGAAGAATGTCCAAATGCCTCAAAAGCCATAAATAACCTCAATTAATAAAATCACATGGTTGTGGATTTTTATTTAACACATATTAATGGGTTTCAGTGTGATATTTTTATACATGAGCAGAGTGTGCACTGATCAAATCTAACCACTCCTTTCCACACTCACCTCCATGGCCACACCACATTTTTTCTCATTCACATCATCCATATTCTCCTTTAAGGTGGCAACTTCAGTCTCCACTC